CGCAAGGAGACATAAATTGCCCATAAAGAGCGAAACGCAAAAGCCAAAATGACAACAGACTGAAGCAAGACACAAAAATGACCATAATATGTCCACAAAAGGATGCAAAACTACAACAAAGACACACAAAACAACTAAGAGGGTGACACAAATGGACCACGAAGAGACACAAATTACTACGTGGACATAAAATGACTCAAATGGACACAAAACTGCCTCAAAGACACACAAAATGACATGATTGTCCACCTTGTCCCATTCCTCCCACCTCGTCCCATTTTTGTTGGAGCACTGTTTAAATAAAACTCAAGTTTTTGTTTGCACTTCACAATGACTCCAGCATTTCTTTTGGTTGGTGTTGCTTTCCTCTTGTTCAGAGGGGACGTAACTCTGTAAAATAAGATGTAAAATAACAACAAAAAGGCCCAAAACAACCACAGACATAAAATGACCAAAAAGTGAACCACTAATAACATGTTTTCGTGTTTCAGCCTCTTACATTCGCTGCTGTTGATCGCTTCATAAACGGGATTTTACACCTGCAGCTCAATTAGAATGATCCAAGATCACATCAGTCCGTCGGGTTCGAGCTGTTCTACAAACCGAGTTATCTCACAGATTTCAGCTGAAGGCCACGGCAACAGTTAGAAAGATGACACTTTATTAGAAAGGTTTCCACATAAAACGTGGATATGGCGGACAGTAGGCACAGTCAGTAACCACACAGACAGACAGACAGACAAAACCACTCAGACTCCTGAACGTCACACAACTTTTTCACAGGAGAGTGACTCTAATGTGCGACGTTATCAAGACACAATCTGGAAAAGCTTTGCAACTTGAAGGATTCATTCAACTTACAGCTTAAGAAAGATATTCAGCATGAAAGTACAACCTCTACATGATTTCATATCATCTGGGTATCGTATCAGAGTAAGGAAACAGCAGCAGTTTCTCCTGTTTTACATTCTAAAACTAATTGTGAAGAAATCAGTTCAACATTTAGCATCGAGACACAAAACATGGGCTCAGTCTCTCCTGGAACAAGAAAGCTTTCACGTCTCTACAAGGTACTTTTCATGTGAAAACGACATTTTTCTCAGTGTTTTACTACATCACAGTTCCAACAAGGATGTTTTCTCAAAACCTTCAGTATCGACAGATGCCAACAACTTTTTGTGGCTTCATGAGATTAAACATCTGCTTGTTTTAGCACATTTTCACGTTATAAAAAGACAGTTTTCTTGTTATAGTGAAATAGTTTTCTCATTCTTCAATACAAGATTATTCAGTTTGACAATTTACATCACAAACAAAACCAATGTATGCCACCCAAAGAACACACTGTGGTCATTCTACTATATAAAAAAAGGGGAGATAGGTAGCACATCCGCTTCCTTTTTATGGGATTTCTGAATATTCCACCAAATGTTAAAGCTTATAAGAGAAGAACTGTGAGGCTAAAATGCATGTGTGAGAGTTCATGTGAAGGATAACGTTCTCTACTTTCTGCAAACTGTTGAGCATGTGGCAAAAACACTTTTTAAACTACGCCGGTTCAAACGTGACTTACGTTTTTTCATCCTCATCTGGATTGAAAAGCGAAAAGCATAAAAGTAATTGAGGAATGAACTCAAAATCTGACTTTATGTCCACTTCAAAGGTAGCGATTCGGCATCCGGTTTGTTTATCCTGCTGTTAAATCTGAATTACTTATACTTTGGTGCTCACAAGTTCTGTAAATTTGTGAATAATCCAACCAGCGTGACCATATTTTCAATGCGTACATTGAAAGCAGCAAGAATTTGTTGTATTTTGAAGTATCTGATACAGTAAAAAACCAAATCCCTCTTAAAAGGAACAGAAAAGTTAGAATACAAGTGGCCTTACTGCTGTTTATCTAATGTATTGATTGATTAATTCGTCTTCATATGTTTGTTCATTTTTCTTTCTTTTTTTTCACCATTTTTTTCAGCGTATGTAGTAAAATTACAACCCAAATAGCACATAGGCTTATTTTAAGGTGGGGATTTCTTTCTTCTTATAACACTATAACTACTTGTGCTATAAAAATATAAATCTTTTCATCTAAAGAGAGAAAAAAATATATATAGTGATTCATTTTATAACAAAAAATGTGTAATAATGGCATGTGGTAATAACAAAAAACGAAGTTTCTCCTCATAACATCAGATCTAATAACAAGATAATTTTCGCATTCTAACGAAATAAAAACGAAAAGTAAAGTGATGTTTGTGATAGACGCACACCAGCTTGATATTAAATAATAATCATAAAAAAAACGAGAGAAGTTCCTTGTAATGAGAACCTGAGCAAATCCTGTCTATCAGTAGCAGCAGATCTATTTCCTTCTGCTTTGTGGTGTTTACTTTATTCATTTTAACCTCAGTGTAGATGTGTGATCCTCTCAGTGCTGCAATGATTCACATTACTGTTAAAAAAAAAAAAAAAAAAAGCAGAGAAAGGAAGAAATTGCTTGTCATTTCCATAAAGTCGCCTCAGTTCCGTTTTCAGGACATTAATGTGTGAATTACAAATCTGACAAGAAATAGGAAAAGAAATGTGCTTTTGACAGCTTAGAAATGACTTTTTTCAGTAGTTTCAGTTCTGTCATGACAGACGGTAACATCCTTTGAACTTAAGGCATAATGCTGCGTAATGTTGTGTGAATGTCTTCATGTGTTCATGGCTCATGGTTACAGTTAAAAGCCTCGGTGAGCTGGTTTCAACTGCACCAAGCTCTGTGTTGTTTTAATAGTTCGTAGTTCGTCCTCGCTTTGCTCACATCGGCAGCGAATCCTCTGAAGGAAATAAAAACATCCTGACGTCATGTTTCTGCTTCATCTTCAGGTGGTGATTGTTCATGTCTCCCAGATGGACTTTCAGAATGTTTTTGCTACATTACAGCACGTTTTAGCCCAAAGTCCAGCTTGTTTAATAAGTTTCCATGTGCTCCGCAACTGAAATCACTGGATGTAGACTTCAGCTGTAAGTCTTCTTTCGCCTGGCTTTCTCTTCCCCTTCCACTATCTGGTATTTTTAATATGCCCTTTGCTTTTGGGAAACAACCACAACAACCTCCGAGCAGCAGACTACACGCTGAAAATGGCAGGTTTTGCTGAATATTTGGATCGTGCATTAAGGCAGACCTGCTTGGTTCTTTCTGTGAATTTGCTGTTTTAACCCTCTGAACCCCAAAACATGCTGGAAGGTTTGAAAGGCCTGTTATCTTTTTTTTTTCTTTTTGTACTCAAAAATTACACTGTTTATCAGTACAGCAAGAAACTGTAAAAACAGAAAATTTCATGAGATTTTAAATTTTTTTCTTACAGTTCTTGAACCAAATCTCAGCTTAAAATCATGATACATCATCTTACTTTTTTCTTTTAAGTTATTTTTTTGGCCTTTGTGGCTTTATTTGATAGGTCAGTGAGAGAGAGACCGGAAGTGGGGGAGAACGTGTGGGAAAGGGTCATGAGCGGGATTCGAACCCATGACCTCCACATTGGGACTGTAGCCCTGCACATGGGACACCAGCTCAACCAGGTGAGCTATAGCGGCACCCCATCATCTTACTTTTTATAATATTCAACAAAAATAAACTGTTTGCACCAGACCAAACAACCCCCCAAAAATACCATGGATGTTTGTTGGTGCAGCTGTGAAGCCATTAGACTTTGTTGTGACCAACAGTCACGTGACATAAATTCAGGAACTTTTAGGCTGAACTGCAGGCTGTGTTTGAACAGAGCAGATAGGAAATGATTAAAAATGTAAGTAGTAAAATACCTGTATTATGCAGAGTGACTGTTTCTGTCCAGTATCGGACACTTGGAAAATATTGGACATGTTGAATCTGGCTGTTTTCAATTTTTGTTAAAGAAATAATGAAGGAAATTCAGCTTTTGTTTTCTTTTTTCGTGATTTATGCCATTATAACTGTGTCATGCTGCAAAGAACACATTTCTGAGTTCTCTTTATTTCTAGTCATGGATGATCTATTCCATAGAGGTACATGACTTTATACTGCAGTAAAAAATGAGCCCACAGTGAAGAAAAATGTGACAGGAGCAACAAAACTTCAACAGTTTGGAGTTCAGAGGGTTAACTATAGTTTATGTGGGAGCAGAGAGGAGGAAAAGACTGGACGGATGATGAACGCTGTGTGTGAAGAAAGTCAGAAACACCTGCAGCGTATCATTAAAATAAAATGTACAGTAAGCTGCTGATAGAATCAAAAATGTATGTGCATTTTGGAAGTTAATTTCTGTAATTGGAAATGTGAGCTGCTCTAAAAGAAATGGAGCATTGAGATAGTGGACTACACTCCTGTTTCACTCTGTCTTTATGCTAAGCTAAGCTAACCAGCTGCTAGTTGTAACATCAAGGCTCCCGCACAGACATCAAAGCGCGTCGAGCTATTCCTCTGAACTTATCTTACAAAGCGAACACGAGTGGCTGATTTTAGAGGATTATTTGGTCGTGAAGCTACTTTCAGCTGTTTGTTATTCTGCTCTGCTGAAGCTTATTCAGTCTTTCTCTAACCTCTGGGATATTTTTGCCCTGAGATTATCCTTTCAGACAGGAGCACTGCTCAGAAACGTCCTTCGCCAGAACTGGCAGACCATAACCCCAACTGAGGCTGATAGGCGGTTTTCCACCCAAGAAAGAGGAAGTGCTATATAGACAAACTGAAATCTTCATTTCAGACTGGGGAGTCTAAGTTTAGCTGTTTTCTGCAGCTTACCACTGAAACATCATCACTTTTTCCGGGCAGTAATCCGCAGGGATCAGAAAACTTCATCAGCGAATCACAAAATGGACTCAGGAATGAAACTTTTATCACTTTCCCAGCAACCATCTTGCTCTCGTACAGAGTTAATTGGTGAAGCTGGAGGCCTCAGACTTGGCGGTCGATAGCTGCGGGCTGTAAATCCAACAGAAACCTCCTCCCCGAGTCCACGGAGGGACGTCTGGTGTCAGCAGCAGCTGCGGAAACACTTCTTGAAGAACTTCTTGAATTCGGTGTTGAAGATGGTGTAGATGATGGGGTTGAGGGCGCTGTTGACGTAGCCCAGCCAGGTGACGGTGCTCATCAGGCCGGGAGGGATGTCGCAGGTCAGGCAGACGGCTCGCGTCGTGTGAACCACGAAGAACGGAGTCCAGCAGAACAGGAAGCAACCTGCGAGAAAAACACCAACAATTAGGTCGGAGTTAGGTTTCTTCTCTAATTTATCCCCTACAGACTCACGACTGTGTGTCTCGCTTTACAAAAATGTCACTTGAAGTCAAGATATTGATCAGAGGATTGACAGCTGCGCTTGTTTTCACTGAAAGCGGCTGCAAAGTTGCATAAATCAATGCGAAATGTCACATGTCAGCGAGCTGATAGGATTTATTTATTTATGTGCATTTTAAAACCAAACTCGATAAGAAAACAAAAACCTTCAGAGCACTCAGGTTAAGGCCTCATTTTTAATACAGCTGAGAAAAAAAACAAAATTAACAGAAGACGTGGACTACAGATCAAAGAAAACTGAGACAAAATGAGCAATAATCATATTAAAAGGTAAATTAGTAAACAGAGCAATTAAGATTCATGACACAAAGGAACGAAGAATTTATTAATTTAAAAGCACTTTAAAATCAAAACGCATTGATTCAAGTTGTATTTCTCCCTCTGTGCTGCACTGTGAACTGAATTTATAATCACACTGCCAATTAACACTCCATAAAATGAACTTGAAAGCCACCTATAGTGTTTTTGTTCCTATCGACGTGACGATTGCTCTCAGTGCAGACCCTTGAGTTTTAATTCTGTCTTCCCCGTCGCTTTGTTCCTCCGTCACAGCCAGCTGTCGACAGATGTGCTGAGTCCTTTGACATTTGTACATTTTAAATCTGGACGTGCTGCTTGCAAAGTCTGTTTAATGAGGTTGTAAGATTTATTTTTAAGTGTCTTTATGAGACAAAGAAACCTCACGCAGGTGTTTGTGGGTTCGCACTGGCAGGTTTTTCATGACGTTATGACAGGTTTTCTACTCAGAACTATGCAAAGAGAGACGTTAGCAAAAGTGAGAGCTGAAGTAAACAATGTGCAAAGTCGGGAACAGATGAGATTCGAGCTGCAACTACCAAGAGTTTTAGTTATAACCTGCAGATTTTATTGTGCTGAATTATTTTGTCTATGAAATATCAAGAAATTGTTAAAGGAGGCAGCTATACATGTCAAGTTTTGTTGAGGTTTTTTATTTATTTGACTGTTCTACATTATGGAAGAAAACTAAAGAACAAAACTAGAAAATAACACATCAAATGAAAGTAAAGTTCAAACAAAGCAAAATATGTTTTATATTGTAGTTTTCAAAGTAGCCACTGTCCACAGCTTTGCACATTATTGTCTCTGAGTTGACCGATTATCAGTTTGGCCGATTACTGGATCAGATATTCACCATTTTCAGATTATTTCAATCTTTTTTTGTGACTATTCTTAACCTCCCACTGCACTATATGATTATAGCAGCTTAAAATGATGGATGATAAATGTAGAAAAGAGAGCAAACGGTCTGCAGTGTTTTGTACAAATGATCAGACTGTGATCGGTTGTTTTTCCAGACATCACCAGACTGTCTAAGATAAGATGAACTTTATTGATCCCTCACCGGGAAATTAAATGTTACAGCAGCTCGATACAGAGAAGACATGAAAGAAGCAGGATAAGAATTTACAATAAGGTTAGCGTAGCCTCCACGTCTGAAGAGTGAAGCCTTAAACCTGCATTCTTTCTAACAGCCAGCAGAGGGCGACTCCTCTGGTTGCAAAATGTACAGAAGCCTATGAGAAAATGACCCCAGTTTTTACTTAATGTTGTGCCTCAGTCAGCATTTTCTTAACAAGTTTATGGTCTCATTTGCTAATTTCAAGCCTCCTTCAGCGCAGCATAGTGTTTATTTTAAAAAATTATGATCCCATTTAGAGGAAAATGGATGATAAAGCAGGAGGGTATGTTTTAGGGTGTGGAGACCGTTTGATTGACAGGTTTCTAGAGTATTGCCACGCATTAGGTTCTCATTCAGATCTCACTTGCCAAGTCTGGTTTTAAAATACCAACATGCTGACAAACAAATTTCAAACTCTGGTACTCCACTAACCAGCAGGCGACATCACGGTGGCTACATCCATCTTTTATTTACCGTCTATGGCTGCAAGTGATGCTAAAGGTACTGAAACCTAGCGTCTGAACAGAACATCTGTAGAAATCTGATTGAAATCACATTTCAAACCAGCTTCAAATCTGTTCTGGATCAGATTTTCTAATGTTTTTTTTGTTTGTTTTGTTTTGTTTTGCCACCCAGACTTTCTAAAATCAACCTGGAGATGCCAGTAAAAGTTGTTTCAGCTCCAGATGAGAATGGAAGTTAGAAACTGTCAGACTGAACCTCGCAAATGTTCCCGTCAGAAATCTGAACCCAGCAAGCAGAGACTTAAACATACAAGATTTCACGAGAAAGTTTGCCAGTACAAACTCAAATTTAGCTCCCAAACTAATATTGCAGGTGCAAAACTCCTCTCATCCAAATCTAAGTCCCTCTCCGACTTTTCATTCTCCCCCCTGCTGTGCTTGGTTCCACCTCAGCAGTCGCTTTCGACGTGAAATGCGTCAAATTAAGGGAAGACGTGTTTCACAGCGACCTGACACTGCGACTCTAAGTGATTCATGAGCAGACCGAGTTCATTAGAGACAAAGCAGAAATGTACAAACCCTGACGTCTCGTCTTTTCAACTCGCTGCTCGGGGGCATTCGATTAATTCAGGATTTCTTGTCTCTTTTTTTTTGTGCTCGAGTTCACAAAGAGGATAAAGACTCAGAAGCACCTTCATTATAAAGCGACCACACAAGGACAGAGATTGGGAGGTACGCTTGCTTTCACCTCGGCGTGAAAACATGATTCAAGGCCCGTCCCAAAAATAATCTGATGCCATCACAAGTCGTTCCTCAGCTGCCTTCGGCCTTCGATAACGAACAGCTCTGTGTTCTGGCTGGAAATGATAACTCAACTTAATAAGCTCGGTTTCCCTGATCACCGAGCTCTATGAATGACTGTGTCATCGAATCAAACGAAAAACATTTGTCACTGGTGTCATCTCACGTTGGCGATAACGCAGAGCCGAGTAATTCATTAGCTCTCCGTTGCGAGGTTGATGGATGGGATTTATGTCTTTCTCTGCAGGAGATCGGACCGCTTTGCATAATATCCAACAGCTATACTGTCAGCACGACACTCTGAGCGTTTCTTATTCATAAGATGCATTCGGGCCAGCACAGATCATATGATGTTAAATGTGGAGATCCATCCTGTGAATGTGGTTCTGTCCAAACGCTGCAAAGCAAATAATGAAAGACTCCAGAATTATCATATCTCAAGATCCAGACTGTGGAGCGCCTAAAACTGAGTGTTTTAATGTTAATGAATCACAGCGAGTGTCGTCGTTTACGGTATATCTGCAGAGAGTTCTGCCAGCAGGGCAGCATTTATACTGAATATGTGTGTACAGTAAATCAAACCAAACTTCAGGACGTCTCCACTGAACGATGGTTTGATTTTAAACTTGTAAAATACAGTAATGAATGGTTTATGAGAGGCTGAGCGGTGGCAGCACATTACCGACCTGGTTTGGAAACAACCTGGTGAATATTAAGCTCTGCAGCACTGGAATCTTAAAGCCAATTCATTGTTTCCATGGACAGCTGTGGACTCAAACTCAACACAAGTTAAGCTTCTTCTATACATACCACAACTGGGGTATCCGTACAGGACCTGGTTTAGAAAATGCTCACCAGAAAACACGACTACGACCTCCTGCAGGTTGGTTGGTTGGTCGATACACTCTGTTCAAGCCAAATTTGCACAGTTGCTGGTGTTGCATTCATAAGGAGAAAAGTGTTTTTTTACAACTTTAAACTGGCCCAAACTGATGGAGAATGCAGGGTCAAACTTATTTAACACATCTGACGTTAACTGAACGTGTACTCGCACAATCACCCGTGTTTTTTAACAAGGAGAAACAGCCTTCCAGGATTAATCCATTCTTCCAGACTGCATGTAAACAGCTTTGCACTGATCCAACAGAATACAGACTGTAGGTCTAATTTATTTAACGTTTACTCAGAGTCTAAAGTCAAAGAAGTCGTCGCTGTGGCGGCATTTTGTTCAACAGAAGGACAAAAACTCATTTTAAACTTTGCAAACAGCAGTTCCTGCATCACAGCTCAACCACCAACATGTCGGATCATCTAAAACCAGCAGCTAACTTGTCTGTGTTGTGTTAATCAACAGTTCTCCTGCTGGAATCGCCAGCTGAAACGGTTCTACTTTCAGAAATCACGTCAACATGGCCAGCAAGTTTGGTCCGATTCTGTTCTTATCATTTCAGTATAAAATATCCAGTTTAAAATGATTAAATATGCTGCAAATACTGACTTTTTATGTTGATTTATAATTCATTATGGCTGATAAAGATAGCCGTCTAGATAAAGAATAGGTACGATTTGAGTCGACCGAGATTTTCGAGGTTTTACAACAGCTCTGCTCCTGACAAGGACAAGAAAAGCTGCTTTGTTTGTTTGAATAACATGAAAAGAGAAAGAAAAGAGAAAAAAACGAGCGTGCAGCCGCTTAACAAGAACACCACTAAAGACGTGGAACGCAGCACAAACACAACGACACATTTATAAGCGTCCAGTTTTATTTTCTGGCACATTCAGATGTGGGGTACTTTTAAATTGTGGGCTGCACACTGAGGCTTGTGGGTTCGGAAATTTTAGATTTTTAGAATTACAGGTCGCAGATATGTCACATATAAGACGATCATCGAACTCCTGGCAACACTAGTTCCTTCCGACCTTTTACAGAAATATTTGGGGCACAAAGGCTTTAAAGAAGCTTTGCAATAAAGCACAATGACACCTGGCAGGAGCAGAACCACTGGCCTTTATCTTATCACAGGTATTTACTGCACAGAAAGAGAAATGTCAAGGCTGCTATTGAGGTAATTCAGAAACAGATTTTCCACCAGAAAACACAGACAAGTTAATCATTTTTTAAAAAATCTATAAAGCATGTTCATCATGTTGTATCCTGGCAACCTTAGATTTAAGTACGTTAAAGCAGTTTCAGTTGAATTAAGTGATTTTGAAGAAGAAGAAGAAGAATGTTTTTATTGTCATCATACACAAAGGACAGCAAAATTTTAAAAAAAATATTTTGGAATAAAAAAATTAAATCAATTAAAAATGTATTTAAAAAAATAATTAAAAAATGTATTTTATTGTTAAATCTTGAACTCATTGACACATCCAGAACACACAGAACAGGATTATTTTAACATCATGTTTGGGTCCATCAGTCATATTTATGCTCTTTTAGTCCTGCTGTGGCATTTAACAACTCCTGAGAGATTTATTTGTCTCTTCTTCATGAGATAATCTCCAAATTTGCAGCTGCAATAGAGTGTTAGAGCTTTTATTCTTCAACAACTGCATGCCTCTATTTTTCTTGTTAATTATTCTGTCTATTATTTCAATCTATTATTTCAATTCATTCATCAGCTGTTTAGTCTAAAAAATTGTGGAAATTTGTCAGTCAGTGTTTCCTGAAGCCCGAGATGATGTTCACACATGTTTTGTTTGGTCCACAGCCCAAAAATATTCAAGATACATACAAGAAACCAGAACATGTTCACATTTAAGAAGCTGGGGTCAAAGAATTTTGACTCTTATTTCTTAAAAAATATACTTAAACTGATGAATGGATTAATCTTGCTGGCCAGTAACACCTCACACAAGACACAATCATTTAATCAGCTGTTAATCTAAAAAATAGTGATTAGTGCAGCCTTAAACCCCCCCAATAATGCTGTTTAATTTTAAATAAAGTGAAGGATGTTAGTGCAGCCTCACAGATTTAGGTAGGTTTTTATGATGTAGCATCAAATAACAACTCTCACATCATTTTTTTTAAGTTTGAAAGGGCAAAAGCAAAAAAAAAAAGTAAAAAAAAAAGAAGCTAAAAAACTAACATTGATGATTATTTCTGCTCTGCGTTGCTGAACTGTTCTTGTGTCCTTCAGTCGAGGTTTTCTGCTGCATGCACAAAGTCTTTACAGTAATTCGTCTGAATAGATTTATGGTCTTTACGTCAGAAATTCTTCTTTTATGTTTCGGATAACAATTAAAGAATGAAACTGAGTCATATGTCCTGCTTGAAAACTGTGAAAGCGTCTCAGCCTGTTCTCTGCTCAGGAAACACGGTGCGACTGTAAGATCCTGTGTTGCATAATAATTGGATTGAGGGCTTTAAGCCATAATGACGCTGTTTGTTGAGGGACGTTCAGTCAGAAGTGACGCTTTTATCCCGACACTCTGCAGGAACGTTAGCAGCCTCACAGCTTCCAGAGCTGCAGCACAAACATTCATCAAGCTGCAAAGACAAAATGCAAAAGTTCCGGTCAACATCTGGAGGCTACGTTCGTTTTCTCCTCCAAATGTTCAAGATGTCAACACTTAGCAGGTTGTGTTGTAGATCCAGGAAACACTCATGTAAGAGTCACACAGCAGAGGCGCAGTTGGGATTTTGCCTTTCTGTGCAGACACTTTCATCCATTTGTCATCTTTATGCATCCATTTAGTCATTTTGTGTCTCTTTGTAGTTGTTTTGCATCTACCTGTAGTAATTCTCGATCTACTTGCCGCCTTTTTGCATCACTTTGTGGTCGTTACTCATTTACTTGAAGACTTTTTCCATCTCCCTGTGGTCAATTTGCATCTTGGTGACACCGTTTTGGATTTAATTGTAGACTTTTTGAGCCTCAATTTGTCATTTTGCTCCTTCAAAACTGAGAAAACAACATTTTAACTTGACATACTTTGATAAATTGTAAGACAAACTACGATGTAGTCAACAAAAGAAAATCTCGGTTGAATGAAACCCTACTTCTTGTTCAAGGAAAAAGAATTCTGCACATTATATGTAGATGAACTAAATGGACCCCAGTGCACTAAATGCACGCTACCTGCTAACCTTATTAGTCTAAATAAACTATAATCCAGCATCAAAAGCCAGTATTTGCAGCATGACATTTCATTTTAAGCTAGTTATTTTACCAGGACCAGCTGCCCATACTCATATGATTTCTAGAAATACACCAACTTGTGATACCAGCACAAGAATATAACAAGTTAGCTGCTGTTTCTAGATGACCTGTAGTGTTGGTTGTTGATCTGTGATACACAAATTGCTGTTTGCAAAGTTTACACTCAACTTTATGTTCATCTGTTTAAACAAAATGCAGCTACAGCGACGTCTTCTTCCCGTTTCCTTCAGCAAAAAAACCTTCTGCATTAAGCTTGATGTATATTCCTGTTCAGAATCTACGGTCATGCTCTAATATCCATGCTGCAATACTGTATAGCATGCTAAGAAGAGATCGTAGGAAATCCCAATGTGTAGCACATTAAATGCAGTAAACCAGAAACACCAGGATGTCCTCTGGTTGGATTTTGCTTTTCAGGTCACAATCGTCTGTGTAGTTACGTCACATACGTCTCAGTGTCTCGCACAAGTATGAACAAGCTCAAACCACTGAGAGGCCCAGACAGCTGACACCTTATTTCACACTGCAGCCTGCAACATATGGCGTACCAGGAAGGTGTAATATTATGACAAAGTAGTGTCTCCCAGTTGTGTGGTTGCTGCATGTAACACTGCAAATACGTCACCAAAATGGGAGCTAACGGTGGATTCTTCTGCCGCCGTGTCGAGGTTTTTCATGCACTTCAAACACCAGCCACTGATCATCTTGGAGTTGAAGCTCATAAACGCTGACAAACTTTTACCCAAATTACTGCAACGTAGAAAAGTGAGAAGACGTCGGAACTGATCGGGTCGGACCATGAATTGGTGGCAGAAAACTGGGACATGTATTTGCATTTTTCCACAGAAGCGTTTGTGCAAATCCATATGCTGTTTAAACAGGACGATCCGCATCAGCACCATGTCAAGTTATATTTCTAGGAAGGTGCTTGTCAGGCACTATAGGACCGATGGGACACCTGTGATGTAGATTCAATGCATCAGTACAAATCAAGCTTTACGGGGCTCCGAGGTTCACCACTGAGCACCTGAACACTTCCACACAGGAACTCCAAGAACTGCGAGTTGCTACTTGCGTTTTCCCCGACATGTTTCTGAAGCAGTCTGAGTTTGTTGAAGGAAGTTAAGGGAAGACTTTCCTTTTCAGTAGGAAACATTTAACAGACTGATTACACGGCAAAACCTGCTGAAAGCAGTCGTCGCTCTGTATGAAATAATAGATGTAAACACAGCGGTCTCCTCATCAGTAACCAGACACCAAGACACCACATGGATGCAGCTCCAGTGTCTTTAATCTGAGCGTGTAGCCGCCTGTGGCCCAAAGTAAATGAAAGAATGTAAACACAGTTAGCGTCACTGATGGTGCTCGTGTCCATCTGACAACACCGCAGGACTCCAATACCTGCTCGAGTCAACTATGAACCCAGTGAAGTAATGAGTTATCAGACTGAAGCTCACTCACCTACGACGACGGGCAGCACCCTCATGGCCTTCCTCTCCCTGCTGTTGATCTTGGCTCTCTTCTTCATGTGCTGCTGGCTGAACGTCACCGTGGGCACCGAGTTCTCCCGGTACTGCCGGGGGTAAGGGATCTCCTGGTGGATGTAGTCGCCCGTGTCGTCCAGCCGACTCTGGGCCAGGTCCCTCTCTATGATCCGGGGCAGAGGCATCGGCAGAGGCCCGGGGATGGTCCCCGTCAGCGGGGGGAGGGCGGTGGCGACGGCGGCATGCTGCAGCTTCCTGCAGGCCTCGATGCTGCTCCGGAGCTTGGCCTTGCGGGTCTCCTCCCAACGCTGCAGCCCGCGGAAAACCCCGCAGTAGAGCAGCACCATGATGGGGCAGGGGATGAAGAAGGAGCAGACGGAGGAGTAAACCACGTAGTTGTTGTCCTCCAGCTTGCACTCGCTGGGGTCGCGGTCAGGCACGTTGTTGATGCCGAAGATGACGGGTGAAGCCACCGCCAAGGCCAGCAGCCAGGTGGCAGACAGCAGGACGAGCTGCCGCTGGTCCACGTGTTTCCGGTTGTAATTCAGGGGGATGGACACGGCAATGAACCTGCAAAACAACACAACACAACCCTGATGTCATTTTGTCTCTCATTGAAGTCACTTTGCATCTATTTGTAGTTTTTTGCATCTTTTTGCAGATGTCATTCATCTACTTGAAGACTTTTTGTGTCTCCTTGTGCTTATTTTGCATCTATTTCTAGTGTTTTTGCATTTGTTTGCCAAGTTTTTACTTCTCCTTGAAGTAAGTTTTTCTCTCTCTGTTGTCACTTTCCATCTGTTTCTAGTCTTTTTGCAGCCCTGAAGTTATTTTGCACCTACATGTAGTAATTTTCCATCTATTTGTCACCATTTTGCATCTCTTTGTGGTCGTTGCTCATTGACTTGAGGACTTTTTTATGACTCCTTGTGGTCATTTTACATCTATTTGTTGGGTTTTTGCTTCTCCCTGAAGTCAGTTTGTCTCTCTTTGTAGTCACTTGGAATCTATTTGTAGTTGTTTTGCATCTTTTTGTGGATGTTATTCATCTACTTGAAGACTTTCTCCAAGTCTTTTTGCCTCTGTGTAGTCGCTTTGCATCTACTTGTTGTAGTTTTGCATCTATTTGTGGCTTTTTGACATCTCTTTTTCGTTGTTATTCACTTACTTGAAGACTCTGCGTGTCTTCTTGTGGTCATTTTGCATCTGTTTCTCATGTTTTTGCATCCATTTGTCGTGATTTTTACATCTCCTTGAAGTCAGTATGTCTCTCTGTGTTGTCGCTTTGCATCTATTTTGCGTGTCCTTGCAGTTGTTGTACATCTATTTCCAGTCGTTTTGCATCTGCTGAAAGACGTGATGTGAGGAGAAGACTGACACTGGATGTGGACATTGAGAGGGCAGAAAAATATTGCTTGTTGTCCTCTCTGAGAGAAAAAAATCCACGTTGTTTTTCTCCCTTAAAAAGGTCCTGAAAGCGTTTTTTTTACAGGTGGTTCTTGTGGTTGGAATAAAGGCTAAAATAAAACAACACTGACATATTCTGGAGTCAATCAGGTTTGCAAACAGCCGCGTACACGTCCAGCATCACACAGAGCAGCGTCACCCTTCCGTCTTTGTTTCCGAACACCTGACAAAATCCAAACACTGATGCGAAAAAATCAGACCGTTTAGCAGCTAAATGCTCCGCTGCATTCACCGGCTAATTGCTAACTATGTTCTTCTGCTGTTTGGTGCTGGAAGCTACAGTCGGCTGCTGCTGCTGCTGCTGGAAACTAAATAATGAGCGCAAAGGAGTCGCAGGCAACCTGGAAAAACCTAAAAAAAACATGTCAAAGCTGAGGAAAACACAACTCTTTGGACATGACACATGCTCTTCTTTCCATTGGTGATATAAAAAAATGGATTAGAGGAGCTATAACGTTAAAACGTTAAATAAGGGGAAAAAAAGGAGTATTTTGTGGGATTTGTTTTAAAATTCAGGCACATGCTCACAAAATACTTCATCCTTCAATTTCTGTATACACTAATATCTTGTCAACTATTAACATACATGACAGGGCCAAAACATTGATTTGTTGTGAATTATTATTTCATCATAATGTGGTTTGATGCACCACAACCTCCCATTACTGCCTCAATAATGAACATAAAGCAGAATTATGACCTTTGTTTGTGCTTTTTTAAAAAATTGTTTTTATCTTTGGAGGCAGTTTTGATGGACGTGATGAACATTTGGATGCAGGTTTTGTCAGTCCAAGATGTTTTTTTGCTTCACCACTACATTTATCTTTCATTTGTTGGAGTGTTTCTTCAGGTAGAACAGCAGAACAATCAACCACAGTCCGTGCTGTCTGCTTCATCCAAACCTTCACACCTTTATGACCTTTTCACCTCAGCAGCGAGGCGGCTTATTTCTCGGCCTACACCTCGACCAGACGAGCACATACCTGTCCACGCTGATGGCGCACAGGTTGAATATGGATGCGGTGCACAGCATCACATCCATGGTCATCAGGCCGTCGCACATCAGCATGTTCAAGGACCAGACGCCGCCCTGAAACTGCACAGACAAACAAACAGCGTCTCATTAGCTGCCCCAAATCTCAGAGTAAATATCCCTAATCCTGTCGGCTCACAGACATTCCTGCTGTAGAACTCTAGTGTGTCCACTCTCTGGTTCCCGTGACTCTCCTCCTGCAGGTGAACGTGGCTGGTTTTAACTTTCAGTCTGACTCCTCCTAATCCAGCGACTGCATGCGACCGAGCCACCGGTGTGTCACTCGCCAGATTAACTGGCTGCAACCGCTGGCACAGGTAACGAGATCAAACGCGGCTAATTAAGGAGGACTTAAGGGGAAGCCTCAGCGGGGCCTCGCTCGGATATTTAGACAGACAGAGTGGCAGGCAGGTGGCGTTTAATTCTTCTAATGAGGGCTATATTACACCCTTTTTTGTCTGGAGATACTGTGAATTATGGATCACTGCTCTCTCCACACCCAGTGAGAATCCCTCTGCCAGATTAATTAATCCTGATTGACGGCGTGGCTTCAATTTAGTGTCATGATGAACTGGTTCTGGTGGGTTTAACTGGCAAGCACACCTAATCACATTAGCCCAAGTGTTGATCCTATTTATCATTTTAACTACAATATGCTCCATTTGTGAGATATATAAGGCTGCTGAACATAGAAACGCGTGTTTCATACTCAAGAAATCGTCTTTTTCTGCTCTGTAACCTGTCTACATGTGTTTGGTCTGCGACAGTGAGACTCTGCAGTAACCCAGCATCACTTTTTGTTGCATTAAAGCTCTTTATAGTCATTTATTTGCTGTCATTTTGCATCTTTTTGTGGTTATTGTAGTAGTTTTGCAGCTCTTGTGGTTGGTATTCATCACTTATAAGACTTTTTGCATCTATTTGTAGTCTTTTTGCGTCTGTTTAGTCATGTGTGTCTGTTGTAGTTGTCATGCTACTACTTGTAGTCACTTTGCATCTATTTCTAGTTGTTTTGCATCTTTTTGTGGTTGTTATTCATCTACTTGCAGACTTTCTGTGCCTCTTTGGGGTCATTTTGCATCTATTTTTGGTGTTTTTTCATCTGTTTGTCATGTTTTTGCTTCTTGAAGCCATTTTGCCTCCATGTGTAGTCATTTGTAGTCTTTTGGTGTCTTAATTGGTCATTTAAATCTCTTTGTAATCCGTCTTGCATCAGTTTGTAGTGTTTTTGCATCCCCTTTAAGTCATTTAGTCTCTTTTTGTATCTTTTTGTAGTCATTTTGCTACTATTTGTAGTAGTTTACCATCTATTTAGTCATTTTGTGTTTCTTTGTAGTTGTTTTGCTTCTACTTGTAGTAATTTGCATCTATCTGTCGTCCTATTTTGCATCTCTTTTTGGTCATTTTGCATGTATTGGTCAAGTTTTTGCTTCTCCTTAAAGTCATTTTGCTTTTCTGTGTAGTCACTTGTAATCTGTTTATTTCTGCTTGTACTTTTTGTCTTATTTTGCATCTCTTTCAGTCGTTTTGCATCTATTTGTGATGTTTTGCATCTTTGCAGTTGTTTTACATTCATGTACTGCACGCAATGTTTTCTTGTTTGTAGTGTGTTTGTGTCTCGTTTTAGCCGCTTTCCACCTCTTTCTACTTGTTTTGCATCTGTCTGTATTGTTTAATTCACCTCTATCTGTTGTCTTTTTGCCTCTCCTTCTCTTTGTAATCTTTCGGCATGGATTTGATGCATTTTTGCATCTGTTTGTTCACGTTTACATCTTTGTGTGGCCGTTTTGTATCTATTTAAAGTCGTTTTGCGTGTCTTTGTAGCCTTTTTACATCACTTTGTTATTGTTTTACATCTATTTGCATCTCTTGGTGTCTGTCTGCAGTGTGCATCTATAGTCATTTTGCATCCTTGTTGTGGTTGTTTTCCATCTATTTAGTCGTTTTGCCTCTGCTTCCAGTGTATTTGTATCTCTTCTTTGATATTTCACCACTCTTTCTAATCTTTTTTAAATCTTTTTTTTTCTTCAAATTTTGCACTCTGTGTGACTGTTTTGCATGCCACTGTAGTCATTTTGCATCTCTCTGTGGTCTCTTGATTCGAATTTATCGTCATTTTGCATCTATTTAGTCATTTTGGGCCTCTTCTAGTCGGACTGTAGATCTTTGTAGCTGCTCTGAGTCTCTTCAGACAAATACACAAACTAGGTACAGTTGTTTTCTGTCTCTAGTGACAGTACTTTGGGTATATTTGGATACACCTGTGTGGTTGTTAGTCGTTTTTTGTCTCTTTCAGGTGCGCTTCTGTTAAAGTGGATAAGAAGCTCATTTGGATCAGCGAACATGTTCAGACGCTGTGTGTCTGCCGTCTACAACTTCCTGCCTAAACACAACCTCAGCTGACACTCCCGTACAGACACGTATTACACTACATGCTGACCTTGTGCGCCCCTGGAGCTGGTCAGTAATCCACCAGCGGTCCATCTTACCTCTGCGTAAACGAAGAGCGGCAGCACCAGCACCGCCAGCAGCAGGTCTGAAAACGCCAGACTCACTATGAAGTAATTAGTTGTGGTTTTTAAAGCCTTTTCCAGGTAAACGCTCAGACACACCAGCACGTTTCCTCCAGTGACCACGACGATCAGCAGGATCCCGAATATGAGCGCAGGGAAGTTGTAGTCTGCGGCTGTGGCCGCCGGTACGGAGTCGTTGTTAGAAACCGAGAGGTCCGACATGGTGGCCGCAGACTGACGGGCTCCTTGTCCGACGGAGAATCACTCTCTCCGGAGTAGTTCTCATCTATGAGCCGTATCCAGCAGCCCCGAGTCCTGCGGGAGGGTTACAGGTGAAGTTCTCCCTAGAAGACGCTCAGTTTGTGCGCTGCGCTCTCCGTGCGCAAAGCCCCGCAGCCCTCCGTATCCAGGCTCCTCTTTGTCTGTCCTTACGCAGACCCGAGTTCACTTTTCCTTCACATTTAGTGAACTGTCCTCGGTGTCAAACTCCAGCAGCATCGTGTAATCAGCGTCCAGGCTGCTGCTGCTGCTGCAGGAATAAGTGAGCAGAGCGACGAATCAGAAGGCAACAGCTTAAATCCGTCCGCGCAAATCTGCTTACTGAGGCTCTGCTCGCTGTGTGAACAGTCTCAGCAGGTCAGAGCAAGTAGCAAACAATCACATTAGTAATCAATTCATCTAATGTAAATATATACGTGTATTTACAGTGTAGAGGAAACGACAGACTTATCTAACGTCACTACCCTCACCAAGCATGTCATTCTTACATAAACCATCTACAGCTCACTACCACTGCTCTGTTTAACTTGCAGAGGCTCAGAGCTTTGATTTGACCCAACTAATAGATGCAAACACCTTGACATAGATGCAAAACAACCACAAATTGATGCAGAACTACAAAGGGGTGCAAAATAATCACAAAGACAGGGAAGAAGACTAGAAGTAGATGCAAGACTATCACAAAGAGATGCAAAAATACTATTTAGATACAAAAAAGTGATTTAAAAATGACAACATTCAAAGCTGACAGATGTAAAAAAAAAAAAAAAAAGCTAAACTACCACGAATAGATGGCTACAGAACTAAAACATTCACAAAGTGATGCAAAAAGACAACAAATAGGTGCAGAAGTACTAATGAATAAATAAATAAATGGAAGAAACTACAAATGGGCACAAAGTGACCACAATAGGAACCAAAAACACTAAAAGTACATGCAAAACAGCCACGTAAAGACTTTAAATGAGCATATAGATCCAGAAAAAAAACTCAAAATAGTGCAAAATAACTAACTAGAAAAAGACCAGAAATAAATGCAAATAACTGTAAAGGTGCAGAACCACAGAGGCAGAGGACTAACAGCAGATGTAAAATGACTAAACAGATTCAAAACAACCATAAAATGTTACAAAATGACCACAAAGAGAAGCAAAAAGACGTAAAGTGAAGGCAAAATAAGCAAAACAGCTATGAAGAGATGGGAACTATAACCACAGAGACACAAGAAAAGAGACTACAAATAGAGGAAAAGTGACTACAAATGGATGAAAACGACTCAAAATAAAATGAACCGCAAAGAGATGCAAAATTAACACAAAGACAAAAAGACCACAAATAAAATGAAATAACACAAAGACAATTATTTCACAGTGTGTCAGACTGTGTGAAAACAAAGCTGCAAATCTGGAAAACGGTTTTAAAAACACTCTGAGCTTCAGTTTACGTCAACTATCACCACTGATGCCACAGCTGCTAATGGCGCCGTAGCATCTCTAGAGTTCTTCACAACATCTTCCGACACCCTGAGACACTTTGAGGCTCACATCCATTATTAAAGGCAACATAATTAAAAGTTTTCAACTCTCCTGGCTTTGATGTGAGGAAGTAAAAACTGATGGAAATGAGATCAAAATGTGAGCTCATGTTCGTCGCTGACTCATCGGGATAATTAACAGCACCTGGTGTGGCTGACTCGTTAAGTGTAATTTTACCTGAATGTCCTCAAACTGTTCACTGACACGTCTGTACTTTGAGGATTATTATCCTGCCCAAAGTAGCCATCATCCCAGGAGGTGATTTGTTATTTTTTGAAAGCAGGGATGACCCGATGGAAGCCTCTATTGATCCCACACGCCACCATAATTCTGAATATTATAACTACAATTATCTTTCAAATAACAGAACTGTAATTAGGCCTAGTGCATATGCTTTGTTGGCCTGTTCTTCCACTGGGTGGACATCATGCTTTTTAATAATGCTTATTTTATTAGTTCAGGTCATTTCTTCATGTCAGAGGTTCCACTAGTCGCTTCATAAGGACGTTCGAGTCGTTTGCACCTGATGTGGAACACCTGATTCTAATTTGATTTATCTTAAGGTGTTTTGGTATTAGTTAAATTAAGAAAATGACACAAATTGTACATTTTTGTCATTTGTTTGGCGTGTATTGAAGGCATTGAACACATCACCGATATCTGCTGTTTCAAAGAGGATCAACTGTTGGCTTCTTCAAAAATGTTCTAAAAAATGCAATTATTGTCTTATTATTATGTCACGTGAATGTATATTTTGGAAAGTTTTGCACTTATTAATTAGCAATTAACCGTTTTTTCTTGCTGTGTGCCATTGAACTTATTCACAATTTTGCCTGAATACCGAAGAAATCTTAAAAAATTTACGATTTCTCAGGTGAGTTCTGACGTATTTCCCTTTCTATTCCATTAGTCTGATTTACCTAATCTCTCATAATAATGACTTACTGTCATAATTACAAGATAAGACCTGCAGGTTATTTTTCTCTAGTGAATTGAACTAGAACTGTAAAAGAACAATGGATGAGTGTTGTGTTAAAACATGATCACAGAGTCATCCACTGAGCTCAATAACAGCAAATGGCACCTCGTCTCAACCGAGACAAGAAATAGGTCCTAATTAAACTGTGTAAATGAACCAGTTATCTCAGTTTATCTGCTCTCCACACATTTCTTCATTTAAATCCACATTAAAACAGTAATTATTGTGCTACAGTGTGAAACACCTTACAGAAGGATAAATGGTGCCTTACAACTAGAAAGACTTCTTGCTATAACGTACGTTTTTCTGTCATAAAAGCATAAAAAAACATGTTGGTATAACAAACTATAATGTGATGCTGAACTAATTCTCCCCCAAGTTGCGCCAACTATCTCCAGCAAAAACTCCATCTGTAGCCGTGTGCTCCATAAGATCCTGTATTATAGAGGTGCTTTGATCTGGAGTGCTTCTTCAGCAGCACAGATCTACTGAATGATCAGTATAAAGTACATTATAGAGATGATCCAGGCAGTAGTGACTCTTCTTGCTCTTTGCCTGCTGCATGTTGTTATTTGTTCCTTTGATCATCAAGATGCACGACTCTGTGGAGTGTACAGGCTCCAACATGGTACAGAGTTGAGTTTTTCTAGTATATAATTTAGAGAATATTATAGATCCAAGACGGAGCAGACAGAGTGGCGAGCCTGAGAAGAAAAAAACGTGAATCTAAATGCACGTGCGACTTCAGTAGCATGGATTTATCACCGCGCAGCTACTGATGTTCAGAGGTTAGAGCTTAAACAAACCTCAATCAGATAAAAGATCAATAAAAAGATAAAACAGGCAGAAAAAACATAATTAAAATAAACAACTTCTCCGCTTCTGCAGTTTCTCTGCTCCTAGACGATGGAGAGCAGTGATGGAGGTTGATGAAGGAGATGCGTTTTGGTCATTTTGTTAACAAGGACGACGGCTTCCTCTCGACAAATCACCTTCTACATCATCCTCTTTGTCTTGTGTGATGAACCCTTACAATTATTCAGTCTGCTCTCTGGTGTTGAGGTCTTGGTCAGGAGATGATAGCTAACAAGTCATTAAAGTCCTTTTCAGACATGAGATGAGCTGCTTCATCCCTTTAAGGTTCCAGAGAAAGACAGATTTTATTCATTGTTCAGTACATCAAGACACCTACAACATATTTATGCACTAATAAACAAAATCTAACAGTCCAAATAACTAACAGCCAAGTTTTATTTGTGCTTTCCTAAACACAGAATATTCTGCTATGTGGGGCGTTCAGGGAACATCGGTAAATTGTAGAGTCTATCGAGAAGAAAATGCTCAGCAAGTCATATGTTAAGGTGGGAAGTGCAAACAAATGAGAAAGTTGGTGGCACAGGTAAAAAAAAAACTTAGTCTGGAGTCCTGTGTGGACTTCCGTGTAGTGCGAGTTGTTCGGTAAATGGCTACGTATGCAGTGACGTATGGCGTGGCTCTAACTTGGCTCCTGACCAATGTTAAGCAAACAGGGTTGTAGGAGGAGCCAGGTTGGAACCAACTAATCACTGGCACTAGCACCAACATGGAAGTAGCACCTGGTTCTTCTTGGTGGAAAAGGGGTATATGATGTGTTTAGGACCACTTGTGCCAACTGAAAGTGATACAGAAATGCTGTTCGGTCCGACAAAGTGGGATTGAGGCCACAGCTTTTACTCTGTTTCTGACAAATGATCAAAAAGGAGTCCATGTTGGACAGGGTTTAGGTCTGAAACAAATGACATGACTGACCAGCTTTGCACTTCTGCATGATATACCTACAATATGATTTACGATTCTAATGTTCCAGACAAGTCTTGGAAGCAACACTTTGGTTCCAGTGTGGCTCGTTAGCAGGACATGCTAATGTTTGAATCTAATGTTGGAAAAGACAAACGCAGCATTCAAACTGTTCCTTTCAGATTTGCTTACATTGTTTTGGAAAGACAACACTGAACAGTTTTTGGGTTTTTTTTGCACTTTATGTTCTACATTTGCCGCAAAATGCCTTCAAAAATATAGAGTCCCTGAATCATCTTTTGTTTTTCCATCATCACACTTTTATGTTCCTCCAAACTCACTCAGCTGAAGTTCCAATGACTAAATATTTTTTATCTGTCTGATAAACTCATCTTAGCTCGTGAACTTGGCTTCAACAAAGAGCACAAAGAAAGCTTTTTAATTCCAGGTCTCGTTTTCGTGCAAAGTTAGAAACAGACATCACATGCAGCCAACAGCTGACAAGGTGTCTCACGACTCTTGCTTCTGATCTCGGCGTAAAGGTGTTCGGGCCTCGGCGCCTCCTGTGGCATGAATATCATTAGAATAAAGTCTGCAGCAATTAGCTTTTCACACGTTGTCACAAAGCCTCGGGAAGGAAGGCAGAACTTGAA